AGTTTTACCTTTTACGTACTTTTCCTGTATTTTCCCATGCAAGTACAATCGGTAACTTGATTTAATATAAAATTTTGTGGTATAAAAATGAGTATTTGCACTCTATATACAAGAATAATATGGTAATTAGGTGGATAACCATTTCACTGTACGAGCAACTGTTTATTTTTCTAAAACCCAAGTTTGTCCCTATATTAGCTTATGCCTATACATGTATGTGTGTCATACATAATATTTTTGAGAATTTCCACTATAATGACATAGAGGCATACACTACTTTGTATGTAAATCACATATACATACATCACTTTGTATATATTGGAAAAGCAAATTTAAAGATTTTTATCAAAAAAATGCATGTACAGGAGATATCAGTTTACCTTTTGAGTGTAAAATCACTCTTTAGAAAGAGAGAGAGAGACTGATAATCTGACATTCGGCGGAAGAGAAAGAAAATGAGAGAGAGAGTGGGATTCTGGCAGCTATTCACCAGATTTTTGTCACGGACAAGAGTCTACACAAACCACCACAAAGATAAGCATATGGGTTTCTACTTTCTTTATATCCGGTGAATAAGAGATTCTCGTTCGCTAATACGAAATGTTTCTTTCAAATTTGTATTTTGGTTCAGAATCAAAGAGTGTTTTTAACTGATAGGAAATATTATTTTTGCTAGATGAAAAGATTCTCTCTCCTATAAAACCAAAGATTGAAAACCAGATTCGATCAAGACAGAGAAAATCTTGTGCTCCAGTTGATCTGACCATACCGAGACGACTCGGCGATTTGACTCAGTTTGATGGGTTTAGAAGAACCAGTTGTTAGGTAGTGATTTAGTGATGCGACGAAGCCAATAAGCTTTTAGCGAGGAGGTTGCAAGCAATCACTAATTAAACATGTAACATACGATATTGCCGATAACTTTTTTTTGTATCGGTTATTGCGTTGTGTCTTAATTTAGTAGGTAATGTAATTTGTTATACATCTAACTCTAATATCTTAATTGTTTCAATACGATGTTAAATATATATAAACCAATCATTAATATACTCAGATAAATTATATCTTAAGCACCAAACATAATCAATAATTTTTACCGACTAAAATTTAGTGTAAAACATTCTAGAAAATGTAAGAAACAAATATATTATAAATCTAATTTATCTACTTTTCGCCAAGTAAAACATTAGCCGTCTAACATTAACATTGTAGTCTAACTTTTAGTTTTTTAATATAGTAGCCGTATAACTAATTTATTATCCTCACTAATAATTTTTCTATGAATAACAAATTAGTCATCTATATTATAAGATAAACAACTAAATCAAATGTCAAATATTTAACCGACCAATGAGTATGTTAACATCTTGTTCATAGCCTAAAAAATTCCTTAATTATAGATATAAATAATTTATTACATGTCCTGTGAAAAATTAGCTCGATAACAAATATTAAACATCTAACAATACATATTACAAACAAATACAATGTTATCCGCTATTACATGTGTTGGCTGAATAATGATGAATTTACACGACTAATTCCGA